TACGTGGGCCCCAATCACAGCACTCAGCATGTCCGTCGGCCTCCACAGCTGCTGGGGACTCTGGGACTGCCATGAGGCATCTTTAAAATCAGCAGTGTGACACGCCTGTGGCAAGAGGCTGTCAGGTCCCCAGCCCCACATTTCTAAGGTCTCAGTACTTAGGAGAGCTTGCTTCACAGAGGAGGCTCAGATGAATTGTCGTGGGGGGGGGGGGCAAGGTGACCACTAAGCTGCCTTAGGACATGGTGGTCTCCTTCAGTGTGGGCATGCCTCCCCATCACCTCACCTTCTCCACATTGCCACCCTGTCCATGCTCTGCTCACAATTCAGGGCTCAGGCTCAGAAGTCTGGCATGAGGCCTCCCCTGAATCCACACACACTTTCATTTGCATGTCTTTAGGCACCTGTCTCCCCCTCCACCCCACTCCATGAGCAGCAGCCGTCTGTTGTCTGTTTTCTGTTTTCTAAGCAGAGCCAGCTAGAGCAGGAGCTCAGTGAGTACCTGAGGGCAAGTTCTATGAACATTCTTTTTACTCAGACCTCCCTCTTGTAGGCAGGGATGCTAATGACCTCATCAAATAAGAGCTCACAATGGTCTGTTTTCTGTTTTCTAAGCAGAGCCAGCTAGAGCAGGAGCTCAGTGAGTACCTGAGGGCAAGTTCTATGAACATTCTTTTGACTCAGACCTCCCTCTTGTAGGCAGGGATGCTAATGACCTCATCAAATAAGAGCTCACAATGTCTAAGTGTCAGATTCAGCCCTGTTATTAGTAGCAAAAACTATAAATTATTGTCTCCCAACAGAGAACTGGTAAATTGTGGTTCATATTATGCAGCCACTGAAAAAGATTAGATTTCCATATACTAACATGGAAAGAGCCACAAGAAACCATAAAGAAGAAAAAGCTTACAGTATGTTATGTGTATATTAGAGCCCTATTTATATTAAAATATATATTATACTTGGGCTTATATGAATAAAAGTTTAGAACAGCAGTTCTCCAAATGTAGTCGGTGGGCTGAGGGTCTCTGGAGGGGTCTGCAAGTGCAATGGGGTCCTGAAACTAAAGTGTGAGAACAGAACATACCGAGTAAAGTGGCTGTTTCAGGAAATATAGGAATAAAGGACAACACTGACTTTGTACCCTAAATACTTTTATACCATCTAAAAGTTTTTACAGAAAGCATGTACTAATTTTGTATTTTATGTCTAATAATTCTTTGTGGGTCTAGTTCCAATGTTGGCTGCCTCTGCTGACTCACTCAGTGCTGCATGTTTCCTTGTATATTTTTTTGTGACTTTTAATCACAAACTCACTCTTTGGAATTCTAGCCGTGGGAATTCCGTGTGGTTTGGGTTGAGAATCTACTCCTCAAAGGGCACCTGGGATTGCTCCTGCCAGGAGCCAGGGGGCACACCCATCCCAGGGTGATTTCAGATTAGGAAACTCTGTAACTTTTCAGCCCTCACCAAGGATGTAAACACAGACCCAAACTGGTAAAGGCCAGCCAGTAACTACAAACTCGCAAGGGATTTTTTTCCCTTTGCATCAGAGCCAGTAATGAGAAAGACAAGTTTTCTAGTAAGTTTCTTTAAATTCACCCTTTTCCATGAGTGTCCCATTTTATGTATGGGGGGGATGGGGACAGGGGAGGGATTGCTTTAATCCAGTTCATCCTCGAGTGGGTCCAAAATGTACTCCTATTCACTTGGATGTGCCCACGTAGGATCTGCGTGGCTTCAAGGGTCACTCTCCCCTGGACTGGTGATTCCCTTCTGATCCTAGCCTCTGAAAGATTCCCTCCCTTTCTTGCAAGCTCAATCCATTCATTCAGCAGCCTGTTTTTACCATCGTTTACCTTGCTGTGGTGTGTTGTGGCAGCAAGTAAAATAGTCTCTAGCCCACTATAGTGGCCCACCTTTACTCTTACAATCAGCAAAAACAACGATGTTTTCATTTTTCAAAATTAGCCACACATCTGGGGAATGAGGGAATGGCCATTGACAATGGAGAGAAGACCCCACCCTGTCCCCCAGCCCTGGGACTCACCTTGTAACAGGTGACCTGCTCCAGCGGCCGGGGTCCTCGGTTGCCTGCGCTGCTGTTTTGACTCTGCATGACCCCGATGACCTGCGGGGCTCTCTGCTGATTGGGAGAAGAGTTCTGACTCGTTAACTGGATCAAGGAGGACGACCTTTGTAATGGCGGATTGTTACTTTGCTGGAAAGAGTTACACAACACGGTTTTACTGTGGAAAACACGTGCACGCAGACTACCAATGGGGACAGGAAAAAAGAGGGCGGGACTGCTCCCGCATGACCAGCAGGAAGAAGGGCTTCCGCGATGGCCCACCTCTGGAGAGTGGGCAGCAGAGAAGCATCAGGTAACGATGGCAGGAGCCGCTGCCCGAAAAACACCATGCAGACACACAAAAACGGAAAATAAAAATAGAAAGAAAAACACCAAAGAGACGAGAGGAGGTCTCTGGGGCAGTGGGGCAAGGGCATGATCAGGCCTTACTTTTGTTTCTGAGGTTCTAGCTTCAGGTCAGGATGAACGCTTGGTTCAGCCAGATGTTTAGCAGCCTACACGGCGAGCAACAGTCACAGAAAAACAATTGGAGCCTGACACACTGACCTGCCATCTAGGGGCTGAGGGCCCTCCTCTAGGGAGTCACACAAGAAAGAGGGGGGCAGGGACTCCTGGGGTGGTATTTGACAGCAAGGCCACCTCCCAACCAAGTGGGTTCCTGGCTCTGGCCTCGGGAACTGCAGGACCTGAGCCAGGAAACCCCAGGTTGTCAGGGCTACACTCACACCCAGGAATTCTGGGCTTTCCTGACAAGAGTTGGATTTGATTGGTGCCACCACCTCCTGAGGGTGGGGGATCAGTGGAGCAGGCCCCAGTGCAGGCACAGCCACACCCCCTCCTGGCTGCTCAGCTACAGCTCTGAGGGCCACGTGGGGCTATGGCAACTGGCTCAGAGCCCAACAAAGTAAGAGGTCAGGCTTCAAGATCAGTGGATCTCTGGGAGAACCTGCCTACCACCCCAGCCAGCCCCTCCTCTGGGCCCAACCTTCCACTCCCACAACCAAACCCAGGGTGCCTTTGGTTTTGGGGGGCTGCTGCAGATCCCCATTTGCCTATGGCATTTCCCTCTCTCCTTGTGCCTGAGGGGATGAACCACTGCTTGGTTGTGGAACCCCTTGTCTGGAAAAACTGCAGCCAGCTAGTCCTCAGTTGTCCTCACAGCCTCCACTCCCTGCGGGTGGGATCTTCCACGGGAGCAGTGATGGCACTGGCCAGAGAACCAGTCAGTCAGTCTTGCTCCTGCCCAGTGGTGTCACCTCAGGCAAGTCCCTCCCTCTAGGCATCTCAGTTTCCCCATTTGTAAAGAGAAGGGTCTGACCCAGAAGCAACAACAGCAGACATGGGGTGCCCAGGCTGCCCTCCACTCCAGCTCCTGAGGCAGATGCTGCTGGGCCACAGTGTCATCTTCCCATCAGGCAGCCCCACCTTGTGCTGGACGTTCCCACGCCACCTGAACCCAGTCTGCCATCATGCTCTCTGCCCTGCTGCACTGAGGTTCTAGGGCTCCCCAGGGAAGAAGCTGAGTGGGAATTTAGCCCTAGCACATACCGTCCATCTCTAAAGGGAGATGCAAACTGCTTTGTTCTTGAATTTCTCCGCTGGAACTCAGGAGGACTCCCCTTCTCTCCCACCTCCTCCCTTGCCCTCCTTTCCCAAGGCCCCAGCTGGGTCTAAAGCAGACAGCACACCAAGACAGGCACTGAGCTTCTCTCTGCAGGAAGGGCACTGCCAGGGCCAGCATGGGCCGAGGAGGGGCCGGTGCACGGTACCTTTGTTGGAGGCTGCGTCTGCTGTGGCAGTGGGGGCTGCTCAGTGGTTCCCATGGGCAGTTCAAAGCGAGGGCTGGTCACCGGGCAGCCAGAGGGGATGAGAACAGGACAAGGAGAAGAGGGGATGAGAGAGAGGAGAGATAGGCCAGGCAAAGGTAAGAAAATCATACCCAGCCTGTGGCCAAACACAAAGTGACAGGGTGGGGGTTGGTACTCAGCAATGCCTCTGGGAGGCCACAGAGCTGACATGCCTGGGCTTAGACCCAGCTCTGCTCACCAAGCTGGGAGACCCCGGGCAAGGACTGCTCAGAGCAGTGAAGGAAACAGCTGCACTGGTACTGGCAGAAGGCACATGATCAGGCTCATGCTGTGCAGGAGGGGCTATGTACACAGAAGCCTCCTTCCCTGCAGGGTCTGACTGACTTGAGCATCAGCACCTCCTCGGTGACTCTCCTGCACTACAACTAGGAGTCCGTGGACTATGTGCAGGTTCCTAAGCTCTCATCTAGAGACTGGGATCAATTGCCAGCACTGGCCACCTGCCTGCAGTAAGGCAGGGCCCAGGTGCTTGACAGATCGGAAGACCACTACCGCTGTAGGCTCAGCAGTGTGGGTGGAGGCAGCACTCTTCTGCAGTCTTGTACCACCCAGGCAAAAGCCTGGCCCCACAACCACCCAAACTGACAGAGAAGGTGAAGGACCCAGGAGAGGGACACTAATCCTGCTGGGCAAGAAGAGCCTGGCTTCGGAGGCCCACCTACCTGCCTTTGATCAGGTGCCACCACCTACCACCACATGACCCTGAGCTCTGAGCCTCAGTCAACCACCCAAACTGACAGAGAAGGTGAAGGACCTAGGAGAGGGACACTAATCCTGCTGGGCAAGAAGAGCCTGGCTTCGGAGGCCCACATACCTGCCTTTGATCAGGTGCCACCACCTACCACCACATGACCCTGAGCTCTGAGCCTCAGTGTGCTAATGTGTGAAATGGGGACAGTATCTCTTTCACACCTGCCAGAGTTACATGAATCACTGTTATGTGGGACCCCAAGCTCAAGACCTCTAGACAGGAGGTCCTGAAACTTGAGTTCCCTTTCTGTAGGCCACAGGCTCTTAACTTCAGATCCCTAAACTCACTAAATGGTATGCAAAGGTATGTCCCGTTCTTGGCCTTCAGCTCCCAGTTCAGGAATCCCCTCAAAAGGCCTTTCCTGACCACTCTGCCTAAAGTTGATTCCATTGTGCAGTCTCACTCTTTATTTGCTTCAGAGCACTTTTCACAATTAATTCTTATTGTCCCGCTGGCTTATCAGCTGCCTCTTTTCCTGGGCCACTAGAGCAAAAGCTCCCTAGGGCAAGGATCTATGTGTCCTCCTCACCACTGTCCCTCCAGTGCCTATAGGGAGACCCTCAACACACATCTGTGGCACAGGTGACAGGAGCTGCAGATAGTCCATCTGCACCAGTGCAGGCGCTGCAGGGGCAAGGCAGGCAGAGGGGGCATCACAGAGATGTGGGGGCTGCCGGGCTTAGGGCCATCAGCAAGAAAGGAACGAACCCCAGGCCAGCATACACAAAGGTGCCCCTGAGAATCTGCCCAGGGCAGTCTGCCTTTGGGTCCAGATGGGAGGCCGCTGCCTCATTCTGTGCTGCTATGGCTGAGGAGGAATGTGGTGGGTGAGCCATCCTTTGGGTCCAAATGGGAGGCCGCTGCCTCATTCTGTGCTGCTATGGCTGAGGAGGAATGTGGTGGGTGAGCCAATGCTCAAGGAGAGGGTGGAGAGCTGCGAAGCCTGGGTTCTACTCTGTCTGCCTTGACTTCTCAGCTTCTGCTGCCTCTGCAAAATAAGCCACAACTATCATTTATAAGCCAGCAGGCCAAGCCTGTTGGGATGCTGAAATAATTAATATCTCCTCTAACAACAGTGCTTTGAAAGCAGGAAGAGCACCCAGCACTCCTCAGCTCACCACAGACTCCTGCACAGGGCCTGGGGTCAGCAGTCCTAGTGCCAGAGCCAGCCCTCCTGCTGACCAACAGCTTCTTCCTGGGAAACCTCGAAGAGCACACTAGAGCGGAAGCCATGGGGACTAATTCCATCAGGGGACACAATGGCTCTTCCAAGCCCCCTGGCCTCCACCCTGGCTGAGGCCATGCATTCTCTAAGCAGGAGTCAAAGCTATCTCAGTTTCAAGGTGAAGAGCAGGGATCACTGCCCCCAGAAGACCTGCTATCCTGAAGGGCTTTTTAGGACTGCTGAAATATTAGCCATGATCACACCCCCAGAGAGAAGGAGGCCTAGGGAGCCATCAGTGACCATGGCAGATGGAGTGGACTCCAGGGAGAAGGCAGATGCGAGCGGAAATGAGGTCTCCAGCCAGCTGCACTGCTTGCTTCCTCACTGTGATCCTTGTTAGACTCAATGTCCTGAAGTACGCAAAAGTGCTTCAAACAGTGAAGTACTGCAAAGACATACAGGATTATCAGAGAATAAGCCTGCCATCCCTAACTGAAGAGCCAGCTGGGGGTGGCAGGCACTGCCTGGGTTTCTGATCTGAAGCTGGAAAGCTGGAAGAAGGCAGACAGAGAGGGTTCCTTGTGCCTTACCAAACTTAGAGTAGAAGTAGCACTCAGGCATCTTGGTCATGTCGTACTCATGCAGGAACTCACACTGGTCCCCCTTCTTGCACAGCCCCCGCAGCCAGTGCTTGCACACAACTGTCTTCTCGCCGCTGATGTGGCGGAACGGGCACATGCCCCCTGCCGGAGAAGACGGGGTGGGTGTGAGAGATACACCCTGGGCCTTCACCCCACACCTCCCTGAACCACCTGAAAGCAGCATGTCCTGAAAGGCAGCTGAGGTGCCCCTGGCAGAAGTCAGTACCTCAGCAAACATTTTACATGTTAACAGTTAGGTATTTTACTTTAAGATGTTTTGGGAAAATACAGCTAAAACATCACATCGTGAGTTCACAGATATTACTGTAAGGTGGAGGCATGACGGGCCTGGGGGGCAGCAGGTGGTGAGCTTATTTCTTAATTTAATTAAAGTAGAATTCCAGTGGTACACAAACATGTAAAATTTGTAGGGATGGTAAAAGAAAGACTAGGGTTTGGGAAACAGTAAAGGATAAAGAGGACCACCAGCAAAAGCCTGGACTCCAGGAGCTATGTCTCCAGTTAAAAGTGCCCACTTAGCCTCCAAGAATTAAAAAAGATCAACTTCAGAATTGAAGAACTGTGATGGGTATAAATGGAGAGGTATGCCTTCTGTAGCAGGACCTGAGTGATCATCTGCCCAGATGGGACAGAGCTGTCCTCTGAGAACGGCAGACTTCTAACAAGTGGCCTGGCAGGACCACTGGGCAGGCCTGACCAGAATGAGGCTGTGACTGGGAAAGACCTAGACCAGTCCTCTTTAATAGGACTTCCTGCAGTGATAGAAATGTTCCACATCTCTGCTGTCCAATTTGGCAGCCGCTAGCCACAGGTGGCTACTGAGCACTTGAAGTGACTAACTTTGATTTTAATTAATTTAAATTTGAATAGGCACAAGTAGCTAGTGGCTACTGAAATAGTTAACACAAAGACAGTTGTCGTGCCCTGTGTTAAGGATACCTGTGCTAACAGTAGGTGGCTGGTCAGAAGGGCAGAATGAATGAGCAAAGACTTAAAAATGAGTCCAGGAGCCCAGTGGGGAATGATGTTCTGACTAGACAGCATGAGGTCAACCTGGTTGATCTACCTGGAAGGTCTATTGCTTCAGGGGTAAATGACTGTGCTACAGAACCCAAACTCACCAACTATCCCCTTGCTCTAATTCTGTGCTTCCTATTCAAACTTCTGATTAAAATTTAGTTTCCTAAATAAATTTTCCTACAGGGAGAAAAATGCTCAGACCTATACATGGCATGTAAGGTCCTGCCCAATACTACTTCTTATGAATTAGTGGATAGTGTGGCTCATGCAGCCTCTTTTGGGGCCTGGTTAGTGTTAATTAAGACCCCACAAGACAGATTATCATGGGGTCTTCTGATGAGAAGCCACAGAGGACAGTGAGCCTGTGTAGACTGTGGAATTTAAAAGGCCTGGGATTCAGACACTGGGCCTCAATGCTGGGGGCCTCTGTCCATGTCACAGGTCAGCTTGTGGATAAAGGGAAAGTGAGGCGACAAGGCAGCCTTCGAGCCAGGTTTAGTCCTGTGTTTTAGGTTTCAGGCAGAACACCCCATCAAGTTCCCATCCTATCCAAACTACCACTGTATTTATGGACACTGTTAGTCTGCAGAAAAGCAATGCAAGCCAGAGACCTGGTGGCCTACAAGTCTGCCAAGGGACAAGGTGGACACATCAGGAGGCAGGTCAGGGATCCAGGCATCTCTTACCTTTCCCACAGGCAGCTTTCAAAAAGAATTCACAGACAGCAGCCCCCGACTCTAGAAAGGAGAGAAAAGGAGAGGCATCAAAAAAAGTTAGATGCAATTGCTAGTGGTGATGTCCAAAGACAGTGAGAGAGAACCCTTCTGGCCTTTGACCCATGGAGGGTTCAGGATAGAGGAAACAAGAGTGTCAAAAAAAAAAAAAAAAAAAAAAAACAGCCCAACCAAGCATGGAAAAAGCCACTTATTTCAGCCATTCCCTGCAAAATGAGACATATACATTGAGACCAGTCATTACACAGTGCTTTCTGAGAGCCTCCTGTAACCAAGATGCTTTCAAGCAGTTAGGAGTGGGTGGGGGAAGGCAGGATGAAGCACAAGATCACAGAAATAAATTAATTACCAGCTCAGACTTTCCAGGAGGGCTAATTCACGGGCACCTTAAGAGGCAGAGGGTGAGAATGATCTCAAGGAAATACAAACAAGCAAATGAGACCTCTGAGGAGGGACAGGCTCCAGAGAAGAGGCGGGTACCTCTGAGATGCTAGTCCAGAGGGAAGAGCTTTAGTAAAGACACAGAAGCAGGACTGCTCTTAATATGCAACATCCACATACAATTATTAGAGGAGCAAGTCTTTCATTCCCACAGATGCCGTTGGTCCAGTGAGGGGAGCAAGACCACAGAGGCAGAGTGCAGAGGAAGTCAGTGGCTCCAGAGGGCCAGCCATTCTGATGAGTCCAAGAATTCACTGTCCTGGACTTCCTTGGCTTCATAAAGTTTTCTCTATCAGCAGGCATTTTAGAATTGCTGAAAACCCACCGACAGTATCTCTCAAGCCCACTTACGTGCCTTCCATTGCTAAATTGCCAAAGAGTCCTGGGCTTCTCAGAAGCAGGCAGATTTTGCTAGGACAGAGTAATTGCTGTAAAACTTAGGAGTGTCACAGAGAGTCATAGGGGTGTCACTATGTTTGTATTTCAAAAAGTCTTACATTAAAAAATGTATCATTTAAGAGTATTTCTGGTCTATCATTCTTTTGAGAGATTAGGGTAACTTCATTCCTTAAAGTCAGAAATCTATAGTGCTGGGGACTGGGTCTCAAGTGAATGGGATAAGAGTAAGCCTTAAGGGCAAAACTGACAGTTCTTCCCAAACTGAGATCGGAATGAAGCGCAGGGACAAGTGAGGAAGGGCCATGGCCTCGTTGGGCTTTAACATACTAAACATGATCACGGACAAGCAGTGAGTGCCGAGGGCACCTAGCAAGTCTGAAGCCCTGGGTTAGGGCAGCACCCGTGGCTAGGCACATCCCTGGACCTCCCTAGGAACAGGATGTGGGCCCCTCGCCACCTCACCAGCCCTCACAGGCTCATGGGTCTGTGGTGCCAGGTGGGAAAAGGGTGGGAGGGAAGGACCTGCCCCTCAGGAATGATTTCATAGCCTCCAGCTAGTGCCATCAAGACTGAAAGAGGCCAAGTGTGCAAGAATGGATGTGCATGTACAAGCACAAAGTGATTACATGTATCAAGGAGTAGATTATAGAGCATGTGTCCAAACTTGAGCAGCTGCTGGTAAGAGGTGTACAGTGGTGATGGTGTTTGTATGTGCATGAAATAAGGTGGTGTGACGTATGTCTCTTGGGTAGACGCACTATCTTGCACAGCAGTGTTAGTAGAAGGGGACAGACTCTGAGGTCACCTCTGTCTGAGAAGGCATGACCACCTGGGGGGCATGAAGCTGCAGGGACAGGAGAGAGAACTCCAGCTGCAGTCCCCTGGCAGTTATGGGAGATAGCACAAAACACTGGAGAGCTCACCTGGCTCTGCCATGTGCACTGAGTGGCCTTCAGCAACTCCCCTTCCCCACCCGGGCCTCAGTTTCCCCAACAATTCTGTGTGTTAAAATTCAAAGACCTCTGAGTCCTCTGAGCTTTAACGTTATAGCATTAGATTTCAAGTATGTTCAGAAAGAAGAAAAGATAAGAAAACTGCTGCTTTCTTTTTTTTAGTGTGATAGCCCACCTGCGTTGGGGGTTGGGGAAGCCAGGACTCCATGTGAACGGAGAGCTTGAAGGGAGCGCAGGGTAAAAGGTCCATAACCAGCTGCCTGGGTGTGATTAATGACCCAGACGAGGGGTCAGAGAAAAAGTCGGGGACAGGCCCAGAACTAGGGATGCGCTCCCGAGAGTGCGAGTCCTAGAAGGATGGAGTTTGAGAGTCCAACTGGGGGTCTCCTACAGAGAAAGAGAGGGGGTCCTTCCCTCTGCAGGACTTCTCCAACGGCCCAGTTTTCACGAAAGCAAGAAGAGGTCACTCAACTTGGGGGCGGGAGGTAGGGATGCAGGATATCCTAGTACTTTCCTGTAGAGGGGGGTGAGGGAGTTCCAATCCAGGATAACCCGCCTTCATTCAAGAGTTAAGTGAACAGCGGACACAATCCCGCCCTTCTAAAGATGACCTTAAAATAGTCTCGGGGATCAAAGATCCGAGGAAGTGGGCTCCCGAGTCCGAGTGAAGGGAGAAGGGGTCCGAGAGCCCGGCGGATAGGGGCCTGGGACCCAGGAGTCCAGGGACCAAGTCGGTCTCGCCCGCCCGCCCGGGCCCCGCGCTCACTGTCCATGCCGGGGAAGGGCAGTGGCTGTGCCCCGAGCTGCTGCTCCACCGCGATCTCCAAATCGAACTTGATATGGTCCACGCTGGCGATGATTTCCTGCATGGCGGCGGCGGCGGCCCCACCGGCCCGGCTCCCCCTCAGGTCTCTCGCCGCCCTCACACCTCTACCCGCTGCCGCCCCGTCACCGCGCACGGTCCCGGTCCTCTTCTGCCTCCTCTCGCTTCGCCTCGCAGCCGCCGCCGCCGCCGCCCGAGGGATGCCGGGAGCGTCCGGAGCCCGCGTCGGCCCCTTCGGCTGTCCAGACCCGGCCAATCGAGCGCGGAGTACCGCCGCTCTGCTAGACCCGGCTAGCCGCCAGCCGAAGGCCCGCCTGGCTCCGGGTAACCTGAAACCAATCGCGTGTGCGTTCACGACGCGGACTGCGCCTGCGCAAGGCTCGGCTGAGACTAGCGCCTCGGAGAGGGTGACCCCATCCGACAGCCCGGGGTTCGGCGGAGGCCTGACAGCCGGTGACGCTGGCCCCTGCTTGGGACTGCGTGGAGGACGGGGCGGAGTTCACTGCGCTGGACACTTAGAGTGAGTTCCTATTTGATCATCGCAGGAGCCCCGGGAGTCGGGTGGAGACAGCCCAGAGGCGCGAGCAGGATTGGAGCCGGGGCCATCGGGTGAGGAAACCGAGGCTCTGAAGGCCCGTGTGGAGGGTCGGCTGAGCCTGAGGGTCCCGGTGAGCGTCTGGGGATGGAGGATGGCCTCGATGTGTCTCTAATTTAGTAGGTTAATGAGCTTGAGTAGGAAAAAAAATGACGCCTTTGTTTTCTCTGTGAGAAATTTAGCATTTCCTTCTCTGATTGTTGGAGCAGCGTTAGCAGTGCCTGAAACTGTCGAAATTTCAAGCGGGGATGAGCGTAAATGGTATTTCCAGATAGTTTCTGCAGCAACTACAAGGTGATATCTCGAGCTACCGTTTACATTCATTCGTGCTTTGAAATTATGATAGAAGATTGTTATTTGCATTGAAAAAGAAGTGCATATGCGAGTATAGCATAAATGTGTTTTCGAACCATTTTGATTCCTATTTCATTTTTGTAATTCTGTGTATTTTAATGAACGCACGTAAACACTGTGCCTGTAAGGAGTGGCAGGTCGTGCCAGATGCAGAATGGTGAAGGCCCTCTGCACTAGTGCCTTAGCTAAGCTGCTGGTCAGGAGAGGCTGTCTCATTTGTTAGGTGGACTTCGGTGCAAGCTGGCCGGTCTCACCCACTGCACTGTGGCCGGACCCCTCTCTGGCCCTCAGTTTTGTGTGTGTGTGTGTGTGTGTGTGTGTGTGTGTGTGTGTTTGATGGCTGACTCGTAAGGGGATCCAAAACCTTGACTTTGGTGTTATCAGCACCATGCTATCCCAAGTGAGCTAACCAGCCAGTGCCCTGGGCCTCAGTTACTAATCTGTTCAATCTGCTATCACCTCTAAAGTCATTGCATCAGACCTTAAAATATGTGCATGCTGTTAACTGGTTATTCTGATTTTTTTAATCAAAGGTTTAAAGTATGTGGGCCAGAATCTCTAGCCCAGCACTGACCCATAAAAATATAATGCAAGCATATATATAATTTAAAACTTTCAAGTAGCCACATTAAACTAAAAAGAAATTGTGAAATTGTTAATAATTTTATTTAGCCCAATATGTCTGAAATATTATTTCAATAGGTAAAGAAGTCATTAATATGTTTGCATTTTGTTCTTTTTCTTTTCTTTTTTTTTTGTACAAAGACTTTGAAATCTGTTGTGTATTTTATATTTATAGCACATCTCCATTCAGACTGGCTACATTTCAAGTGCTTAGTAGCCACATGTGGCCAGTGGCTACTGTATTGGACAGCCCAACTCTTCTCCATTTATCCACAAATTTTGCAGAAAAGTAATGCTTGATGGGCTGGCTGGTTAGCTCATTTGGTTAGAGCATGGCCTTGTAATACCAAGGCCAAGGGTTTGGTTTCCTGTACTGGCCAGCCGCCAAAAAAAAAAAAAAGTAATGCTTGAGTTAGTTTCCCTTTGCAGAGGCCTAGAAAGCCAACAATTTTTTCCTAATAGTAATGATCATAGCTTTGATTTTTAAATACCTATTAAACACCTGACATTGCACTAAAAACATTTCAGTTAATTTCATCTTTCAGGGTGAAGAAACCAAAGCACAGAAAGGTCAAGTGATGGGCCCGGTCACACAGCTCCGTCCAGAACTCAGACTCATGCTCAATGATCATGATTTGATAGTATCCATAGCTTATGTCTGTGAAGTACTTACCGTGCTAGCACTGTGCTGTACATAGGCGAGACTGAGGCTAGAGCAGTGAGTGTCTGTGGACACATGAGTGGTTGTTTGGTGAAGGTGAAATCTAAACTTAGGCTTTCTAACCTTAGGACCCACACTTGTAAACACTTCTCTCTCTTCTTTCTGCCTTTTGTGACTAGGAACCTAAGTTGACTTCCTTATTTTTCCTGAAATATCCAGGCCCTGGAGGGACAGGAAAGCCAGAGATGGACTGCTTGAGACTCACCCGGCTCTTTATCCCTCGCCCTATGGGACTGTCCATCCTGCAACACCTTGATCCTTGCAGAGCCAGGTGGGCAGGAGGCAGGGAGGGGCCTGCATGGCTGAAGGCCATGAGGCTGACTCGGCCGGTGTCAGTGGCCTTCAGCCGCTCCCTCTCTCAGCTGTCCCTCAGCCAGGGGAGCCAGAAGAATGGGAACAGCCTTAGCTCAGACCCGAGCCAGCCCAGCCCGACAGCCACTCAGGAAGAAGAGGAAGAGGAGGAAAGCTTTGGGACCCTCTCCGACAAATACTCCTCCCGGAGAATATTCCACAAATCCACAGCCCAGTTGTATAACCTGCGGCTCAAGGAACAGAGTGTTGAGGAAGATGAGGAAAGAGAACTGGAGCCAAAACCACGGCAGGGCCAGAAAAACACCCCATACTGGTACTTCTTGCAGTGCAAATGCCTGATCAAGGAAGGAAAGGTGAGGGAACCTGTGGGTTCTGCTGCTCCTGGCTTCTACTTCCTGGTGGTTCTGTTTTTTGTGAGGGGCCACACTATCTTACCAGTCTTTAAATGTTGGGATGTTCAGGGCTCTACATCAGGCCTCTTCCTTTCTCTCTTCTAACTCGCTCTGGTGACCTGCCGGCCTCATGGCTTTAAGTGTACCCCTGCCCTCTGCCACCCTCTGCTTCAGTTTTCATGTTCATATCTCCAGCCCCAGCCTGCCTATGGACGCCTGATCTGTGCATTCAGCTTCCTCCTTGCCGTCTCCCTGACACTTATCCAGACAGCCAGCTGTATAAACCCAAGCCTGAAATGTTTGTCCCCAACCTTGATTTCCATACACTTTCTTCATCTCACTAAATGGTAACCCCATTATTCCATTTGCCCAGGTCACATGTTTTCAGGTCAGTGTTCTCTTTCTCTTACCAACTCTACCTTCAGAATGTCACTAGCCCTAACTGCTTCTCACAACCCTACCACTGAATGCCCAGGTATGGCCTTCTTGCTCTCCCCAGCCATTAGGACACTTGTCACTGGGCTCCCTGCTACTCTTGTCACCTCCTGTCCTGCCATCTGCTTGCAGTACAGAGCCATCCTGTTAAACAGAAAGCAGATCATATTAATCCTCTCTCCCAAACTCCCAGTGTATTTAGTGACATTAATGTTCATTTTCTCAGGTGTTGATAATGGCATTGTGTTTAAAAGTCTCTTAGAGGGCCGGCCCGGTGGCGCACTGCTACAATGCACTGCTTGGGAGTGCGGCGGCGCTCCCGCCGAGGGTTCGGATCCCACATACAGACCAGCCGCTCACTGGCTGAGCGAGGTGCAGGTGCAACACCGAGGGTTGCGATCCCGTTGCCGGTCCCCGGTCCGGTATGGGCGCGACACTGAGGGTTGCGATCCGTTGCCGGACACGAAAAAAGACAAAAAGAAAAAAAAAAAGAAAGTCTTATGGATGAAATGATAGAATGTCTGGGATTTGCTTTAAAAATTCATTTTGCAGTGGGAGTGCAGGTTATAGATG